ATAACGGTTTAGAACGTAAGTTATAGAGGTCATTTCACTGTACGCCCACACGAAAGTAATTAATCTATTAGAACACTATTACCGGTCGCAACTAATCAAGTAACGAACACTACTTTATTACGTCACAATAAGAGATCATTATTAGATTAATGAACCCAATGTAAAGACCTCTGATGAAGGCAGAAGCTGAAACGCGTTGGGTCTGAATAAAGTTTTTATTTGTTGGAAGACGATTCTCTTTTGTCCAAAAAAAGTAGGGGGCTTCCGTCTTGGTCGATACAGCTGGATAGCCCAGGGACGTCCCTAACAGTGGATGGGTGGATCAGGCCTGGGGGTCAAAACTAGTGGGGTAGGGAGGGGGCTGTTTTGACACAACCCCTTCAGTAAGCAGCAGTGTTCAGTTGGGGCCTTGCCTGGCGGGTACCTTGTTTTTAATTTGCCCTAGCCTCTGCTGAGAATGATTATCATGATAATTGCAGAGCTCCGTGGGAGGCGCAGACAGTCACCCATTGTCCTGGGTGGGGAGAGTCAAAGTCTTGGTACCAAGGACGCACTTAGCATAGGACCTGTAGACACTCACTGAAGCAATGTTTTCAAAAATTCAGTCAGACTGGTTGTAGTGTAGCTGCCTGGGCCAATGAGTTGTCTATCCAAACGGATAAAAAAGATCCACAGTCCGATTTTGGTGTACGAATGATAAAACAGTTTAAAAAAGACCAAAAGTGGACAACGTTTGGATGATAAAAAGAGATAGAAAGTAAAATTTACTAAACGTTTCGGTCACAAGACCTTCATCAGTTACCTATCATCATCCGTGAAACTTTCTTAATCCGTTTAGATACACATCTCGTTGGCCCAGGCAGCTACATTTCAACCAGGTATATATATATTTGTTAAAATTACCATTCTAGCATCCAGTACACTACATTGAACTGTTTTTATTTGATAAGTTTCACGACTTGTAATAAACTTACTTGGTTCACACAATGCTTGAGCCCCCTTGCCACCTGGACAGTCATTCTCGCCATCAGTACGTTTGCATGATGATAGATTAAATTCCTTTCCATTACAGGACACTTTTGACATTAAATAGGGTAGGTTTTCGTCCTTGACTTCCGATGTGATGAATTCCGCTATTGCACCTGCGAAACCCAGTTGAGTGCAAACGACTTTCACATCGTCAAAACCCCATTCATTTAGACAGATCTTACCCCACTTCCCCCTATAAAAGACCTCTACTCTTCCTCCATAATCGAAGTTTGCTCCATTTAGTCGTACGGGAACTGAATATGTAAATAAAAAAATAATGTTAAATAGGAAAACGATGGAAGAATTACCCCATGGATGATAGACATGATCAACGTATAAACAATATTTTGGAGGAGGGCATGGCTGGAAAAAAGAAACGAAACCCCCTATCAGGAGGAGGAAAAAAATTAACTATTACTGAACTTTATGACAACTCATCAAATTGTTTTTGTACCAGGGTTGAAAGTACAATCCCACAAAGACGCGCGAGAAAAGAGAAAGTTATTTATCTGTTTGCTCTTTGTAAGTTTTAGTTTTAAAAGGACCTCGTTCTATTACGAATCATTTAAATGACTGAATATCCTAATTGCGACATTTAGGAAACAAAAGTGGTAAGACCACTCAAGACCGTGAGGTTACTTAAGAAAAGGTTCCAAGGCTAGTTCAATATGGCTTCTGATTACTTTTCCTCGCACATACAAAGCGCAAAAGAAGCTGCTACTGCTAAGGATTCTTACGCAAATAATTGGAGAAAGTGAAATACTTTAAAGAAGATTAACATTGTGAATAAACCGTTCACAAAACCACATAAACTACCTGCACATGACTGGAGATTCTCTTTGCTGTTATTATTGCAATTGAAAAACAGTGATGTGCAGTTTTGACGGATGGTCGTGTTTGAGTGACTGTTGCTTTCTGGTTGGTGAGTGCTGTTGTCAGTAGGACCATTATATCCCATTGCTCTACATGTTAAATCCCTTTCTTTGTCATCCCAACTAGGGGTGCAAAGTCTTTTCCAGGTGTTGTTGGATTTAATTTCCATGATGCCAAGAGATGGTATCTCATTTGTCCTAAAGCGTACTGGAAAGCCTGTTTTAAAAAGTTTCATGTGATAAATTTTGGCACTATAGCTAATATCCTGGGAGCTCCTTGTAATTTATTTTGTATTAAGGAATCTCCCAGAAACCCGATTTAATTTGTTTATTTGTTTACTTAACGCCTTACGTATTTTCGCAAGTACAAATTTTACCGAGTTGGGATTTTTACTTGCCAAAATCAGATTACCCCCGCACTTGAACAACTGCCGCGCTAGCCCTGACTGTTCTCTAAAATCTCCACCGTTTAGTCTTGTAGTATACTTTCATCAGCGTCTGAGTGTTTTTATACAAAACAATCCACACTTATGCTTTGTTCACATTATGCCCGATAGCCTTTTCGCCGGCACGAAAACCATACCGGATAGGTTCTCTGTTCACACATTAGGACGGTGATTTCGGCGCGATTACTGTAACAGAGAGAGGCTGTGCCGATCACGAAAGTGGAGAGCCACATATCGGATTGGTGTTCACCATATACCCCGGATAGGTTTTTGTGTCGGCACGAAACGCTATCCGCTATAGTGTGAACAAAGCTCACTATTTTAAAAAATCTGCTAAAGAAAAACTACTCGAAATTTTAGAATCTTAAAACTCCCATGTTGAAGTTGAGGCGTTAGTTGATTAAATGAAAAATTAACTCAAGTTAAGTTTGTATCTTTCCTCTTGACATATTGTTCTTTTGATTTTAACTGTTCTCGCGTTTATCGTTCTTTCTAAATAGTTATAAATATGAAGTGTAATATATACATAATGTATAGTTTTATATATCCTGTATGAAAAATGCATATTTATGTAAGAAAATTATATGTGCACAGTCTGGCTTGCCGCGATTGCAAGCCAGCTTAATCACCTATGTGAAAAAGAAGTTTGAAAGTTTAAGAGCCAGTCTCTGTAAGATCCTCATATCGAGTTTTGCCCACAAAATGGATTTCGCTCAAAACATTTCTGTAGACTTCTTTTAATAATTATTTAACAAATATAAAACTAGATTGCAGAAATTCGCTTCTGTAAATTTTTTTAACGAATTTTCTTTCGGTACCACATGAGGACCTGAGATGGTTGCGAAATATGCGAATTTTGCCACAATTCAACCGATTGTTCCGCATAAAGAGTGCGACCCAAAGCTTCCAATTTACTAGTTATCTTAATTGAGGCTTTGTCTTTAAAATAATACAGGTCAGAATCATCGACACTTTTTCGTTTAGAAAATCTGAGGAAACACACTTTAATAGCCCCTTTGACCCATTTAGCGAAACATGCGATTTTAACCAAATTCAGTGGATTAAATCTCAAAAGTGGCTCACTCTTAATGGGTCTCCTGCATATCACTGTGTAGTTCAATCCTTCAGCTACTGAATCGTGTTAAAAGTTTTGGCGGCCATTCAGTTTCGGTCGAGGGGTGAGTGGCAAAACCTGCCTTACTTGGCCATTTCGCCGACGTTTCGCCATGCATCGCGAAGTCCAGAAGGATTGTCAGAATAGAAAGCGAGAAATCGGGTATATGCCACTCGAAAATTGTCCATTCCTAAAGACTTAAAATCACTGTTTTCCATGTGCCTATGGTTCTAACCGAACGAAGAAGGGGGAGAAGGCGGTGAACGTAAGCTTTGTAATTACTGTCCGCCATGTTTTTGTAGTGTTTGTGGAACGTAAGGAATCTGGAATGCGGAATTGGCAACCTTTTTCCTTTTGTTATTTGTGGAAAATCATTTTGCATTTACAATATTTTTTTGTATCTCTTTTTTTAATTAGAGAATATTAAGCAGGAAGTCTCACAAGTCTTCTTAGCCTGCTCTAGGCACTAGGGGAATTCCTTATCCAAACTGTCGCTGCTGTTGAAAGATGTCTCAATTTAAATATTTTACTTCTCATTAAAGAACAGCTGAACAGTGCAAATGTGAAGTATCACTATTTTCCCTCGTCTTTTCCTTTCTAAGTGCGTGATTTTCGGGCTCAGTGAGAAACGAACCTTCTTGGCCTAATAATAATATTACCTGTAAGTTGTTACTTCTTTGCACTCCAAGAAATCGACTTGTGTATGTCTTTGAATAGCCCGACAATCACTTTTCCGGAACTTAGAACAAATCGCTGTTGAGGTTATAGTCTGGGAGCAAATGTCATAAAGTAAGGTCCCGTGTGAAGTTCGTGCTGAAAGCAAGCACCTAGTGTAAAAGTGTTCATTAGGTCCTACTAAACATGAAAAGTTTTGGTGCCAGCTTTGCCACTTGCTCAGACGGCTTTTAAGGGGGGGTTAAATTCTGACCCATGAAATCCAGCGTGAAAACGAGGCTAAAACACATAATTCCTCATAACTTTGTTAATAACAGACGAAAATACACCAAACTTGCTCACATGATTGGGCATGATCCTCCCTGTTGATTTATGCTAATTTACATAGGTCACGTGACCTTACGCATGAAAGCGAGGCTGAAACACATAATTTACTATAAATTTGTCAAAAAAAATCCTTATCATGCCAAACTTGCTCACCTTAGTCAGTTAGACATCTTGCATCGATTGGTGCCACTTTGTAGTGTCACGTGACCCCATACATGGAAATGAGGCTGGATTGCAAAACACGCCAAAGGTGAACACATCATCCAGGACAATAACGTTGACTCATTGTAATGCATATTAATGCTGTATGTATAGCATTTGAACGAAAAAAATAAACGCTAAAAAGGTGTAATGATAATGTATTTTGTGTGGCTTATATAACTTTATTATGAGCGATTTCTACAATCCTATTTTGCACAAATTCCTGTGGATTCTTAACCTAGGGGGTCTGGGTGATTGTGAGCCTGAACTATTGGTCAGCAGTAATTATTTGAGTGTCCGCCATGTTGTACTTACAGTCATCACAGTGCTTGTAGTATGACGGATTTTGGCCGGTCTAATGCCCCTTTAGATTTTAAGCTGTGTGTAATCTGCCAAGAAAAAAGTAGAGCCAATCTTGTTGAAAATCCAACTTCCTATCAAAAGCTTTTAGAAGCCATCGAAGAACGTTCAAAGTACGAGGACATTAACTCGAAAACATTGTGGCTTGTGCTTAAAGATCTACCACTAGAAGAGCTTAAAGAAAAAGCAACATGGCATAGGTCGTGCTACCAAGAAACCACCCACTCAGGAAAGATCAAGAGGGTAAAAGAGAGGTTTCAGAGAGAGGTTAGAGGGCCAAATGAAGCTCGAAGAAAGACAAGTGAATCGCTTCAGGTAATTGCTAGGTGTAATGGCTTATAACTTTAACTTTTTATTTTATTGTGTTTTTCATCTTGGAATCGCTGAAAAGGTAATGACATCCTTGACATCTCAAAACATTTCATTTCATTTCACTAACCAGGGTCTTCTTACAAGGTCGAAAACCGTCCCTTATGACAGCAATCTGTGCTTCTTTTGTGAAGAGAAAGCGAAGTACCAGAACCCTCTGCATTTGGTGTCAACATCATCTGCTGGTAGCTCTCTTGATAATGCAGTAAAGCAATCAAAGGATCCTAAACTGCTCGTGAAGCTCTCGACGGCTCTAGGCAGCACTGACGCTCATGCCATTGATATTAAATATCATAAAAGCTGCTGGGCGAAGCATGTGAGTGGGGTCCTGCGTAAAACTATCAAAGATGACGAGGAAAGGTCAAGAAGTGAGACAGCGGCTAAGCTGGAGTTTTTGAACCTTACCCAAGCTGCCCTCGATAGCGGAGAAATACTCAACATGGCACAGTTGGAACAGGCTTTTGATTCCATTTCAAACGAGAACAATAGTCCAAAGACTCTAAGTCGACGTTCAGTTAAAGAGCTTATCCAGAAAGAGATAAAGGGAGTTGAGTTCCATAAGCCCACTAGAGCTAATAAGCCCGAGAGGGTCAGCGTAAAGCAGTGTAGAGATGCCGCTATCCATATCGTAGAATCCACAGCTAACAGTGATGAATCTATGAAAACTCTCTTCGATGCCGCTTCAATATTGAGAAAGGCTATTAATCGAAGCGAGAAATGGGTCTTCTCTGGCTCTCTGGATACAACGACACATGATCACTGCCCCGAAGAGCTTACCTGCTTCTTTAGGTGGATAATCCAAGGTCCCAATAAGACACTATCTGATAAAAAGTGCAATGAGGTACACAAAAGAGCAATGCAATTAGCGCAGAATACAATAGCTTTGTGTCTAACGGACAGGCAGGTTGACAATAAGAGGTCAAAAGCGGTCTACTGCACTAGAGAAATGCCCCAACACCTCGCAGTTAGCCTAGCAATACACCAAGCCGTACGAAGCAAAGAGCTGGTTAATCTCCTGCATGGATTTGGCATGGCTGTAGAGTACAAGCGCTTGTTGAGGGTGGAGTCACAAATTAAAAAAACTGTCCTGAAGCGCATAGAGAGTGAAGGTGGCATGTTTCTCCCTCCGGATATCGTGAAAGGACGGCACGTATATTTTGCTATTGATAATATCGATTTCTCAGAGGATACGCCGGACGGGAAGCGTACTCTACACGGCACAGCAATGGCTATTTATCAGAAAGTGGAACCCCAAGATGAAGAACCTGTATTAAGGTGCCATAACTGTTCTACTAAGAAGCATGAACCTCTCATTTAATCCCAAGTGCTCGATGGGAGGGGGGTTAATTAGATAATAGACGTTTAATTTTACTTTTACTTTGGCATGACTGGTCTGTGTGATTCAGGTTTTTCTTTGTTTCAATAAGACTAGCTAGTAAGTTAAAAGCTAATTTCATGCCGTTCTGTAACAGAACTGCCCGAATCGCTGACATCTTTAATGCCATGCGTGGAGCCGCCATCAAGGCCCCCTTCTCCTGCGCACCCTACATTTGAGCTGTCATCAGAACAAGAGTTGCCCCAAAACATCCGTGGTGAGAATGCTACCTGGATAGTGTCTCGTACTCTCACAGGCCATGATGCCCTAAGTGATGATGATAATGATCCGCCTCTTGTACCCGTATGGTCAGCGTACAACTCTTTGGTAAATGAAGCACTACCTGTCACACGTGTCGGTGCTCCTCCATTGTTGGCACATCCTGCTCATGAATGGAGCACGCTCCTCACAGTTCTGATGCGTACTCAAAATATCTCTGTTAGAGTAGTCGGTCCCGGGAGGAAAACAGTCATATCGCTAGACCTTGGTTTGTATCCGCCCACCAAACGATTACAGATGGCCCGATGCGAGCTCAAGAACATTCTCCTTCGACCAGGGGAGCTGCATGTGGTTATGGCTATGCTGAGGACCATTGGGTCATATATTGACAGTAGCGGGATAGACATGTGCTGGATCGAGTCGGAACTTTATGGCCCCTCCACTGTTAAACAGATAATCGATGGCAAGCATGTTAAGCGCGCTAAAAGAGCACACATGATCACCTTACAGGCTTTATTCTCCTTATACCTGGAAGCATTTCTAGAAGGCTCTCCTGATGTACGTCGTACCCTCGAGGAACTCTCTACGAAAGTTGGAGATGCGCGCAAAGAAGGCACTAAGGAGAACATCCAGACGGCGCACCATAGCTCTACCAACGCGATCCAGTCTTCTGAAGTAGTCAAGAAGATGTCTGATTTTGACGCTGCGAATGCCACAAATCCTCTCTTTACTGTATTTCGCCAATACATGCGCATGGTAATGGAGATGTTCGCATTCATCCAGGCAGTCCACAGTGGTGATTGGAAGCTCCATCTAATTGCACTGGAGTTGTTCACAAAGTACTTCTTTGTGCACGACAAGATCTGTTATCTAAGGATGATCCCCCTGTACCTAGCTGAAATGGCATCCCTAGAATCATCAGACCCCGAGATCTATGGAGAGTTCATCACAGGAAACTGGGTAGTGAACAAGAACAAGGAGGTTCCCTTCTGTGCTGTTGGTGGTGATACTGCGTTGGAACACCTCAATCGATCTATGAAAGTTTCTGGTGGGCTTGTAGGGATCACTTTGAATGAGAGCGCACTAGTTCATTGCCCCAGAACTAGCCCGACTCACAGCAGAAGCCAAGGCAATGGCGGGTCTCGTTCCGGAACGTGCACACCATCAAGAACTAAACTCAGCTGTTTTGACGCACGAAGATAACAGCATAAATAAGTTGACCGAGACAATCAAGACCTTCACCAATCCTTTTTCATCAGACCAGAACACCAACACCGATCTGTACAACTTGGTCACAAAAGTTGTGATGAATGAGAAAACGAAGAAAGATCTTGTTAATCAGAGTGAAGAAGGGAGAAAGTTATGCAGTGCTTTTGTACAAGACAGGATCAAGACAGGAAAGATCAACCTCTGGGCTCCTGTAAAGAAGCGCAATCTTCTTACCTGGAAAACGAGTGCTAAGGTCATCAAAGTCAAAGCTAAAGACACGATCATCGAGTTAAAGGAGGACAGAAATCTGTTTGCTCGTTTGGCGATGGTGTGCAAGAGCCGCCCAGAAATTGACATCCAAGAGGCTGTTGGCTTATATGAGTTCACTGTTGTCCCAAGATCTTTGTTTGCACGAGATGGTACCATGTTGCATTGTTCTTGTAAGAGTGCCCTTATGCATATCCTAGAGAAGGCAAGTGGCCCTAGTACTAATACACAAGAAATCACAGCAGGATTCAAAGTCGCGATTGTTGATGGAATGGCCGAAGTCCAATCACTTGACAAGCCAGAGTGGATCAAGAACTGTAGAGACTTGGCTGAACATTTCACGAATCGCTTGCTTGTAAAGTATAATGATTTACAAGAGCTCCACATAATCTTCGACAGATATGATGTACCATCCTCACTGAAATCAGCAACACGAGTCAAACGACAAGGTGGCCATGTTCCCATTTATTATCGCATCACTGATTCTACCCACATCGCCAAGGTGCCGATGAAGAAGCTTCTTGCTCATTCAAAGACCAAGGGCGAACTTACTACGTTTCTCGCAAAGAATGTGAAGGATAATGCTAATGGGAGACAAGTCGTTGTGGCATGGGGAACGGAATGTGAGGCAACGCACAGAGACGTCAGGCATTTACGAAGTACACAAGAAGAAGCCGACACGAAGATTATTTTACATGCTCTGGATGCCTCTGCTCAAGGTGCTACCCAACTCTCTCTCCGACGGTATCCAGATTTGTGCTCGAACTCTTGCTTTGTTACTGGGACCGCAGTAGTCGTAGAGTTATCAACTTGAAGTCAATCGCAGACGCCCTTGGGCCCACTAAGACGGCTGCGCTGCCAGCATTTCATGCGTTGACTGGAGCAGATGTTACTGGGAGTTTCTCTGGAAAGGGAAAAGCCACTTGTTGGGATGAGTTTGATAACGCCAGCACTCCTATCTTGCAAGCTCTTGCTAACCTCGGTTGTGGGGAACAGCCAGATGACGGCACAAGAAGTGGAGTGGAACAGCTGGTTTGTCGGATGTACAAACCAAAGACAGACATCAAAACTGTCAAAGCCCTCAGATGGTTCCTCTTTAAGAAAAATCAAGCTGAGTCTGAGAGGTTGCCGCCCACACAAGCTGCTCTCCATCAAGCCATACTGAGAGCGCACTACCAGCTTCTTGTTTGGAACAACGATCATGTAGCAAACCCGGTGGTTCCCTCACCAGAAGGCTATGGATGGCAAGATGAAGATGGAAAGTGGGTACCAGTCATGACAAATCTTCCACCAGCTCCAGAGGCAATTATACAGCTTGTCCGATGCAAGTGCGCCAAGTCCCGTTGCTCTAACAACCGTTGTCAGTGTCAAAAAGCCGGACTTGTCTGTACTGATCTCTGTCTGTGCTCTGAAGATTGCCAGAACGAGTATGCTGAGAGTGATGATGAGTATGATGAAGACGAAGTCGAACAGGAAATTCCATAGGAATGGACAACAGAACAATGTATATAGATATTCAGTAAGTCTTTCATGACTGTATATATAAAATAGCAGTAGTCGCTATTTTCATTTTCTGCCCTTGTTCCAATATACATGCGAAAATGAATACATGGAACCAGTATCATAAGTTGGCAAAATTATTGATTATGTGTACAACATAGATTCTCAAATGGAGCCTCTGCAGTATTTGCTTTATCCGTCTCGTCCCTGTGCTATGGGCCATAGGACAATGATTAGTTGAAGTTTTTACATCTGAACTCGGATAACCAGATATGTATCTGCCTAGTAGTTGTTAATACATTTGGCAAGCCATCCTACACGATGCTATAAGATATATCCAGCCTCGTTTCCATGTATGGGGTCACGTGACACTACAAAGTGGCACCAATCGATGCAAGATGTCTAACTGACTAAGGTGAGCAAGTTTGGCATGATAAGGATCTTTTTTGACAAATTTATGGAAAATTATGTGTTTCAGCCTCGCTTTCATGCGTAAGGTCACGTGACCTATGTAAATTAGCATAAATCAACAGGGAGGATCATGCCCAATCATGTGAGCAAGTTTGGTGCATTTTCGTTCACTATTAACAAAGTTATGAGGAATTATGTGTTTTAGCCTCGTTTCCATGTTGGATTTCATGGGTCAGAATTTAACGCCCCTTAAAAGCCGTCTGAGCAAGTTGCAAAGCTGGCACCAAAACTTTTCATGTTTAGTAGGTCCTAATGAACACTTTTACACTAGGTGCTTGCTTTCAGCACGAACTTCACACGGGACCACATTTGCTCCCAGACTATTAATTCAGGCTCACAAAGTTAACGTGGGTGACTATGAACAAGCTCTAACATGTGGTAGGGAACGCCCTCTTTCCCTCGTACCGCTGCACCCTTACTCCCGCTGATGTCCCAGCTCTTATATACCGTGGGTTTTTCGCAAACTTTCTTTGCTGTGGAAAACGTTTCAACAAACTGAATTGAAACATTAAGTATCTCACATGAGGTCGCCTTCAAAAGGCAAGTAGGTGATTGGGCAGACAGTTTTTTTTTTTTTTTTTTTTCACGTCATGCAAAAGTCTAAAATGTGCTTAGTGGCCTGGCTATTCTCGCATGAAGTTCATTCGATGATACGACTCAAAAAATCTTCAATGTTGGAACACTGGAAAACTTTGCAAGAGGGCTGGGTTAATGCCCTTAACACCCTTTATGACTTATTTTTGATACTTGATAATCTTCTTTGTAAGGGTGAGAGCCTAAATAAATACAACATGTTTTCACAGCTACAGTACCGTGCAAAAGAAATGCAAGCGAAATTTGCCGAAATCAGCAAAATTACGCGAATTTCGGCAATCAAATTGCAAACTTTCGCTTCAGACGAGAAAGCGGCGAAATTTCGGTGCTTCTATTGTTCTACTGTCGGCGAAATTTCGAAGCAAGGTGATTAATCGAAACGAAATTTCGCGGCATGAGACGAAGTTTGGTTGCGAAATTTCCTGCCCGTGTCATTAGAACGAAGTTTCGCTTCGACGAAGCGAAATTTCGTTTCTGCAAAACGAAATATCGTTTGGACGAGAAGTTTCGCTTCCACGAATTTCAAGAATTTGTAGTTGACTACATAAAGAATAGCTGTAATCATCACTTCATGTAAAAGTACAGGTACATGTAGGCGCGGTCATTATTTGAAAAAGAAACATCGCAACGATTGCTACAATTGTGGAGAGATTTTGAAGCAGGACGGTGCTACCACATGGTTCAAATAAAGAGGGTTTCTTTCACTGAGAAGTTTATGATCTGCTTAGAAAGTGCAGATGTATATTTCTCATGCAAATAAAACGGAATTTTCACAATTGCAATGAAATGAAATACAATTTAGATGTTCTTACAATGTTATGTTATGTCATGTTCGAACATCAAGCCTGTCAGATATTCAGGATCTTCATTTGCTTTTAATGCATTCACAGAATGTTAATTGAATTACTACAGCACAAATAAACCTTAGACATGAAAAAATGCAAATAAGCTTTTACATCCAGTGGAAGATCCAGGGGAGGGCCCCCGGTCTAGATCCGCCACTGACATCAACCAGTTCCATTTATGAAATAATTCTATGTTCTTAGAAAGTCAAACAGTCTCTTTTTTTTTTAATTCTGTATAGACTTTTCTTTACTTGGTTCCTTTTATTTCTATATATTTAGTTTAGGAATGTTAAGTAAATTGTTTTAAAGCCTGTGGAATAGTCATTTTGTAGTAAACATTGCGTGACACGCGACTCCTCTGGCTACTTGACGTACAAAACAAAGCAAAATTTGAATCTTCCTTATACTTAATTTATCCTTTTCCCCCATTTATTTATGCCCAACCACTTCTTTAATAAAAAAAAAAGGACAGGAGTTAAAACAGAACTGTGATTGAAAATACTTACGTGACATCAGATGAACAAGAGTGACAAAAATCTCGCAGATTTCTTGAATGCGCCATTTGCGAGTTAGTTGGTTTTTTACAGTGAAGGGCAATCAATTTTCCTTCATAGCCAGGATACCGACAGTTTTACGTGGCCGCCAGTATATACCAAGACTGTACCTATGAGCAAGGCAAACCAACATCTTTTCTACTTATTCATGCGAACGATTAAACTTTCCCGCCCTTGCCAAAATTAGGTCATATTCGGTGACCTTCGTACGTGAAAGGTTACAGCTTCTTAGATGGTTCTCTACTTGGACAACACACTTATTTAGTGGAAAAAAATTCGTCTTTACCGCGCGAGGAAGCACACTTTGCAGGTGCATGTGCCGTTTTAGTTGTTTGCCAGTAGCGTAAACTACGATTTAGGTGGTCAGTGGGCTATGGACCGCTTTGAAGAATGACTGAAAGTTCCTTAGTACTTGAGAACGGACTAAATTTTTTATTGAAAACTTTATGGAGATAGAACAGGGGGGAGGGGGATTCGGGGCTTGTGAAAAACAGAATGTAACGTACTCATTTCTAAGTTTGTAATCTAAGCGGGGTAGCTGTGACGTGCTAAGTATCGCAAATTTCAACCCTCGGTTTCAGACGAACCTGTCAAAACTGGATGACCGCTAAATGTCTGAGAATGATTCAGGAATGGAACTATGCATAGTTTTTGCTGTTTTGACAACTTATTTCCTATAATTATTTATGTAACAGCTGAGGACACGTTTGAATAACAGCAAAAAGCTAAGCTCGATAGGGGTTCCTTAATGCCTTGATCAGTCAAGGTTTCTGAGAGATTCTGTTCAATATCCTGTAAAGTTAAAGAGGAAATAATTATTGTAATGCGAATTGAGCTTCGGCTAACAAAAAAAGTATAAAACTATACAATATGCTCCAACAGGTGACATTTGAAAGGGTTGCGAATTCCACATTCCGGATTCCTGATTCCAGATTCCACACTCCAAAACGCTCCAAAAACGTGGCGGACAGTAAGTTCACGTTCTATCGTCTTCTACCCCTTCTTCGTTGGGTTAGAACCATAGCCACATGGAAAACAGTGATTGAAAGTATGCAGTCTTTAGAAAAAGGCAATTTTCTAGTGGCATTTACCCGATTTCTCGCTTTCTATTCTGACAGTCCTTCTGGACTTCGCGATGAAGAAACACTGGCGAAACGCCCAAGTAAGGCAAGTTTCGTCACTCACCCCTCGACCGAAACTGAATGGCCGCCAAAACTTTTAACACGATTCAGTAGCTGAAGGATTGAACTACACAGTGATATGCAGGAGACCTATTAAGTGTGAGCCACTTTTGAGATTTAATCCACTGAATTTGGTTAAAATCGCATGTTTCGCTAAATGGGTCAAAGGGACTATTAAAGTGTGTTTCCTCAGATTTTCTAAACGAAAAGATAAAGGCTCAATTAAAATAACTAGTAAATTGGAAGCTTTTGGTCGCACTCTTTTATACGGAGCAATCGGTTGAATTTTGACAAAATTCGCATATTTCACAAGCATCTCAGGCCCTCACGTGGTGTCCAAAGAAAATTCGTTAATAAAAAAAATAACAGAAGCGAATTTCTCCAATCTAGTTTCATATTTGTTATATACTTATTAAAAGAAGGCTACAGAAAAGATATGAGCGAAATCTATTTTGTGGGCAAAACTCCATATGAGGATCTTACAGAGACTAGCTCTTAAGGTTAAAAACGCCCACAAAATATCGATTAATCTTTTGACTTTATTTTGCTAAAACAAACCGTCGGAAAAAAAAAAAAGGACATGGCACTTCCACTTTATATTCGCACGGGCAGTTTGCCGTTGGGGATAAGTTTTGGCTTCACACTAGAGCTCTCAAGTATAATCTACAGGTACTTAGAACCCACTTTTCGCGTGGAGGGGTAAAATGTACCTACTTAATTCAACTTTACTTGGTGACCACAGAAACGTTCGTAGTTCAAAAAAGCCGAAGTTCTTCGTCAAGTCTGGTCTACACCACATTTGAGAACACAACTGACTAATAGGAAATGGAAACCATGCGCCCGATGAGCAAGTGCAGCGGTTCCAAGATTCTAATGAACGGACAGATAAACATTCAACATGTCTTGGTGCGGAAAATGCTAAGCCCAAGCCTTACGGCGATTTCTTTGCTAAAGAGCGCCTTGTTCAGCCATTCTAATGAAATACTGAGGAAGATTTCGCTTGTGTTTTTTTTCTGCTGCTCCTAAGTACTCGTAAAAAACGAAGCACATAAGCATCTCTTTTACCGTTAAAACCATTTAGAGTTAAAAGTAACGAAAAAATAAACACGAAACGTGCTAAGTGCTAAGGCCTCATAGTTTAAGCTTTTGTCGCGATCAATCACCTTTGTGATATGCATAAATGATTTTACTGCGAAACATGATTGACAGCTTGTACTTCAAGTAATATACTTTAATATATAGATTTAGCCAGGGCTAAAAGCAAAGCTCCTGTTAATAAATTTATAATTTAAATCAAACAATAAGCTTGCAATCCTCAAATCAGTTAACTTTAGGTCACA